ACGAGGCATTAGAAGTTAAGGGACAAAGCACACCTGCAAAGCTGCAGTTGACATGAAACAAAAAGCACACCCAAAACAAAAGCCTCATCCAAAAGCCACTTCAGAAGTCTTTCCTCATAATCTAGGGATGTAGAGCAGATCTGAGAAATGGGAAAAGTCCCACGTGAAAGCAACAAGCTTGCACAGAGTGCATTAGCATTTACTTGTGTTTGAATATGATTGAACTAATTACGGCGGGTTATTGAGATGTTAAGCGAGTGTAAACACTGAGGGTTAGAACAGGCCCCCACTGAGATGAAAAACCTCTACTTTCATCCATACGCAATTAATCAGCATCTGACTCTGCAAACAGGCGTGCTCCATTGCCTCTCTTGTAAGCACTGACTGACACATGAAAGGAGGGAAATTTGCACCCAGTTAGGAGATTATACAGCAAGTGAGTCAAATCCGAGCTGATAGTGCAGAAAGACCCCAGACATCGACACACTGGGAGGTTTACTTGACCTTTGTAAGAGTATCAGGACCTGTTACCAGGTAACAAAGTCGAGGAAGTTGGAACATGTGTACTTATTTATGCTTTTAGGAAACATTAATGTGACTTTATGTGAAAAACGATAGGGTCCTTGAGGGATAGCAGAGCGGTAATAGCCAGGGTTTCCAGGAGCTAGTAATAGATACATCATTGCACAACTGCTATTTGGGAAACAGCGTTCACATGCAGCAAAAACTTCAAAGCCTTCCATGTGCAGAAGGCCAGGTTATTTCAATTAGCCTTCAACAAAAACCCTTCTTCTACCCCAGCTGGACCCCCACCTATCACTCGCAGAAATCAGCCACAGGGGACCCTGTCACTGTGTTTCCTTTTACCCCCCAAGGGGTTTGTTTTGGAAAAGGAGAAGCCAGTCAGGTTCAAAGTGGAGGAGAAGACCGTGGGGTAACATGAGATGACGGTCTGTCCGATGAGGCATGCTGCTGGGGCGAATATGGATGATTCTTTTATTTCTGAGCTCTAAACAGTAGTGTACACATATAAAGGAGAAACAACTAGAAAACCATGGGACAACATTAGATTTATTGATTTTTTTATGTGAGTTATAGATACTCGATCATTGTTTTCAAATACAGATATATAATGTTGTTCAAAGATTTCCAGTGGGAGAAGTTCACAGTAAAGGATTTGCCATAAAAATAAGCTTCTCTCTTTGCATTATTTTCAGTTTACGGTTCAAATATGGTAAGGTTTAGTTTAGTTTAAAGGCAACATTTCAAAAACATCAACCACAATTCACAGAGCTTCTTAAAGCATTGAAGGCAAACGTCTTCCGTGTACACAAAGATTCAGAAAGCAAGTGTTGACAGAGTGCAAAAAGTTGACCTTTATGTAACATTTGCGGATTTCTCTGGCTCAGTCACTCAGCAAAGCCCTTCGTTTGACTGAAGGCTACGAACTCACACGTAGGCTGAACAGAGTTCAAAGTTTTTCAACCAAAAACTGGTCAGGTTCACTTCACATTTGACATGAGTCTGAACACATCTGGTCCTATTTTAAACTGAACGGGAGAAGGGAGTGTTGATTGTAATGATGATAGGTCCATGTAGTATTTACACAGTTCTCTCTCTCTAGCAAAAATCGGGCGTTCAGTCATGCAAAACTGGGATATAAAAACAATCATGGCATTTTTCCTTTTCTTCAGTTCCCTCAATCGTCACCCCATGCACCATTTACCACAACCTGGAGGTTTTCCAACCTAAACAAGAAGAAAAACACGAGGCCAAACAACAGACTGAAAGCCTAACGCCTGAGGTTTTCTTGATAAGGTCAACAGGTCAAGAGAAGAGCGCCGTCCTATTCTGTAGTGCAACTGTGTGTGTTGGTTTCCAAATGCTCAGCTCTGAACATATTTGTGGCCATTGCTGATATGGTTGATCCATAATTCAAAAGGACTTTGAGAGTTTAGCAAGGCTGCTGTTGGTTCACCATCTGGATTGGTTTGTCTTTCCTTTCGCTGGAAATACAGATAAAAGAAAATAGTCACTGAATTTTGTTAAAACAAAATTAAACAGTGAGACCTGAAAAGCAACCAACAAACAAGAAAAACACACATTTTCATCCTAAATCCCTTTTGGGTGTGTTGTTATTTCAAAGATGATCATTGTCATCTTTCCAAAGTTACTGTGGGGGGAAAAACATTGCCCTCCAGACTGTTTCTCCTGCAGCTTCATGGGAGTAGTAGAAGTAATAGAGAACACTTGTTTAATCAAAACTAACTGCGAGTAAATTGTGTGGTGACCTTGCATCAGGGCAAGCATTATTTTCAACTCGGCTCATAATAAAAGCATTTTATTGCTCTTATTGACGGTGCTTTATTAAGCAGCTTTTATAAAACTTGCAAAACAAGGAAATAAATGTTGAAAGGAAACTGTACTATGCCTTCTGTGGTACATAAACTACAGTAGTAAAGCATTAGGTGGTTTTTGACCTTAGGGCTCATTGGGATCATTTGAACTTGATGAAAAGAAGGAAACTTGTACTAAAAAGACTGGATTTGATTCTACAATGACTGGAAGGGCATTA